TTTTGTACGGCGATCTGGGAGGATAGACCTGTCTCTGAAATCTATCTAGCACCGACGCGAAAACAGCTTTCAAGACAATGCATGCAAATCTGGGCTCAGAAGCCATCTGCCAGAGTTGGAAATCAGATGTTCCCCAGTTAAAGTGACAAGAGGCCGGGTACCCTTGCCTGTTAACTCACACACACACACACACACACACCCTCCCACCTTCTTAGGTACCGCGAAATGCCCTGCCTTATCCAACTTTCCTTTTATCTGTTTCGAACTCGCTGCAAAACAAAACGTTGGAAAAGTTTGCTGGCATCTGCGTGGAGATGCTTTTTTAGAAAGCCTAATCAAGAATCCGATTAAAACTCCTTTATGAATAAAGCTTAGGAGGCGAGGGGTTGGCAGGAGGGAGGGAGGGAGGGGAAAATCTGGCTTTTGGTCAAATGTAGCAGGGGAGGAGGGCAGGAAAGAAAAGGAGAGATCTAAATTATTGTGTATTGCGTTGGTGACAGATCTGACAGGAGAGGACCAAATAAATCTGAAGGCCTTGTCGTAGGGGAAATGCTCAGTAATAACCTTTCTTTCCTTCGAACCTATATATATATATAAGAATATATATATTCTTTGTAGTCAACGCAGAGGAAATGAACGCTATTAAAGCAATAGATTCAGCACCGTGACAGAAATATAAAAAAAAAATTATTTATTTGCACAAACCCACGCTCAGAGGCGCAAACACAAATCGACCTTTCAGGGAGACAAACAGCATTGAAGACAACACATACATTTAAAAAAAAAACCTTCTTCCAATATTCATCGAAGTGCTTTTCAGAAATGGGGGCGCCTGCACATCCCCTTTTTAGGAGACTTCTGCAGTAGGCTCCCTTCGTCTCTCCCCCCCCCAGATCAGGATAAGTGGTGGGCCCCAAAATGTTAATGGTGTAAGGCGATTTTTTCCCTGGATCTGTTTTTTTTTTTTAATCCACCCCGAAAATTCTCCAGCGGTGAACAGAGCTGCTTGATAGCCTTTTGCGAGCTTTCGGCAATTGCTTCCATAGAAATGAGCCGGGGAGAGGGGGGGCTTCAAGCAAGCTTGCTTGGGGTCGGTTTGGGGTGGGAGATTGCGCTCCCGGAGATCGGAGATCGTAGAAGTTGGTCGCTAAGAGTCGAAAGCTTCACATGGGATGTACAACCCATTCAACCCATTGTTCTGCCTATTGTTAATCAATGAAGATGAAGGCAAGGAAGGTTGGGTGACTCTACCAGAAAGATTTTCTGGAGCGACCACTTGGTGTTGTTGGCAACCAACAAAATATTATCTTCTTCCACCCCCCGTCCTCCCCTTCCACCCCAACTCCAATGTTTGGAATTTATGGTGGTCTCCTATCAAGTCTGGCTTCGTATCAAGCATGATGGTGGCCCTTGCCTCCTACACCACTACGGAAGAAAAGGCCTTCCAAATCAACAGGACTAATATGGAAGATGGAGAGGAGGACTCTACATGGATCTCAAACACTGCCATCCTGGTACTTGCAGATCTGTTGGCATTGGAGATGGAGGCCACACAAGGTCAGAGCCACATCCTAGAAGGCAATGTCCCAAGACTTACTTCGGAGCAGAGTGGACTAACCAGGAAGGCATTTCGCCCTTATTTTGGAGATCTTGGCTTGCCGCTGAAGGAGGAAAAGGCATGTCCATCACTGGAAAACATTTAAACTAAAGAAAAAGCATCTCACACAACAAATGCAGCACGGATCTCCCCCTCTCCTCAACTCAGCCATCCCAATTCCCACAAACAGGGGAGGGGGGGAAAGTGTGGTTCTTTTAGTGGGTGCCTTTTGGGGTGAGCTCCGAAAGTCAGACTCGGTAGGATCTCTAATCAAGGGGCTTACTAACAAAAATGAGGAGGAGAGAAGAGGAAGAAGAAAAAAAATAAACCTTCAACTTGAACAAAGTGAAGAAGGAAGGAAGGAAGGAAGGAAGGAAGGAAGGAAGGAAGGAAGGAAGGAAGGAAGGAAGGAAGGAAGGG